TCTTTTTTGATGCTTCTGCACATATAGGATGGGGCAAAAAAATATGAGGAATTGGGACCTCAAATGGAAATTCTGAAGAATGATACAGCAGAATTGTGTGTAGAAGTGGGGAAAATCAGCTCTGAGCGTCTTCCTGCCATCACTGAGAATCTGACGATCGTGGCAGAACAGATTAAGGTAGCATTTCTTTATGTTGGTCTCATTTCTTTTCTATTTATAGTTAGTTTTTTCTCTAGATTTTTGAAATAATTGGCCTTTTACAGCGGACTGATTCTTCCAAAATAATAAATGCAATGCTATCAGCTGATTCATAGTTTGTTATTTACTAAGAGGATCTTTCTGCACCTGTTAATATGGATAGAAATAAATTTTCAACAATTCTTGAAGCTTTGCATCTCATTTTTCTCTGTTTTCTATTTCTGACATGTATAGATCGTGGAGAATGGCTACAAGAAAATGGAAAGTCAAATTGCAGGGTTTGTTCAAAGTGAGGTATGATAATGGAATGCTATATATCAGTTGCTTTATAGTTTGTTAATTACTAAGTAGATCTTGGTGCAGGGAGGAAATATATACTAGGCACATATTATGTTTTGCTTTGTGACTTGCATGAAGATAAGATTAGTGTGCCTGTTGATATGGATGGAAATAAATTATCAGCAATTCTTGAAGCTCTGCATCCCATTACTTTTAACTTTGCAGCCTTTTCTTCTTCTAACCATTAACAATTTGAAAGGCATTGCTCATCTTCTCTCTTTTTACAACTTTCACTTTTTCACTCAATGTTTCGTTAAAACTCAGTATCTGTTACTTCATAGGTTAATTTATGCAATTGCTAAGAATTGCTACAACTAGACTTGCTTTCTTGCTCTATATTGTTAGGCTTCAAAGAAAATCCACATTTTTCGAGTTCCCTCTTCATTTTCTTGTCTTATTTGGGTATAACCTAGACTATATTTTAGGATGCATTATGCATTTGACCTTTTTTTCTCCTTTTTTTCTGACTTCTTCTATTTATGTGTTGTTTATATATACCGACCAAAAAGTTTAATACTCAACAATATATTAAATTTTGGCCGATACAACTAGTATTTGACTAGCGCCATCAATATTTGATCCAAAATGATATTTAAAGTATAATATATTGATTTTACTCTCAAACAAGTACATACCAATTGTACTAGTCATAAGGAACG